CCACCGCACGTCCCACCGCACGTCCCACCGCACGTCCCACCGCACGTCCCACCGCACGCCACCGCACGCCACCGCACGCCACCGCGCATATCTTCACATGAATAAGCCGACTCCACCAACACTAGCAATAATATGACCAAATAAGTTAGATTTGTGTTGATACTAGGTCTTTTGTGCAATAAATCTCACATTTGCTGTGATTCTGACGTTTTTACACGGTTTTGTTTTTTTGATCTTTTATGTGTGTTTTTGTTGTTTTGCATGTTTTTCTACTTGCTTCAATGTTTTTCAACCAGTTTGGATGTCCTGGAAGGTTTAGCAGGTTTTTGCCGCGCGTGTCAACGTGTTTTGTACTTTTTGCTGTCTTCACACCTTTCAGTGCACAAACGTTTCAAACGCTTGTATGTGGAAGTGCAAACCATTCAGACTCAGACTCAGATGTCATGATTTTGCAAATGAGGGTTCCTATGAAGGAGCATGTAGACAAGTTGTGGGTGTTTATGCAAATGTGTTGAATCGCGCTTCCCTGCTCAAAAGTCTGGACAGGCATTTGCGCAACGGCCGCTTTTGTGCCCCTGTCAGCCAGCATGAAACGGATGCCCCACATAGAGGCCATGCACTTGGATGAAGAGGGCTTGGAGAGGCTCTCAAAGCGTTGCAGCTTTGAAGTTGAAACAGAGCCGCCTGCCCAGCCGAGAGATCGGAAAACGGAAGTTCTCCAGGACTTGTTTAGCTGGCCAGACCGGGTCTTAGATGATCTGCTGCATGCGAACCCTGAGGGTTATGACCGGCTGAAGCATCTTCTTTTGGAGTCAAAATTGACCATCAAGACCTTCTACAGTGGGCAGGATTGCGCTGGCCAAGCGCTGCTTTCCTTGATGAGGGCCTTGGCTAGGCGATGCGGTGTTGATCACAGGTCGGTCGAGTCATTGAATATGTTTTCTGCTTCGGACATTGACCCACGCTGCCAGCGGCTCCTGTCATCATTTCTTTGGGTCACGTTTTTGGTGACATCTGCGAACGGGTGCCGCCAAAAGTCTTGGCAAGCCTCAAAGAGATTGAGTCCAAGGTAGACAAAGCATACAAGGATGCAATGGCTGAGCTCAGGGTTCCCACCTGCATGGTTCAGTCAAACATTGCTTTGCCCATTGCCGAGGGCGACAGCGATGAGATTGAGACGATTGACCTTTCCATTGAGGTGGAACTTGAAGATGCGTCTTCTTCTGTGGCAGCGAGTGCGAAGAAAGAGGTTGTGCAAAGGCTGAGCGCTCAGCTGTTCGAGGAAATGCAGTTGGTTTTGGAAAAGATGCTCGATGAGGCTGATGATGTGCCAAGGTGTGGCCATTGCTTTGTGCACGACAAGCAGTGCCTGTTTCATGACCGGTCAGCAGACTGCAAGAGTGACGCTGAGCTGTGGGTTGCTGGAACAACTTGCACTGATGAGTGCCCTACTGGGTCAAAGAGGCAGCTAACAGGGAAGGCCGCCCTGCCATTCATGATCTTCATGGCAGAAGTTCGCAAGTGTCAGCCAGCCATGTTTCTACACGAATGTACTCACCTTTTCAACGAAGAGAACTTGCGCAAGGCGTTGGGTGATCTCTATGTGCTTTTCCCTTGTCCCATGTCGCCTCATGATTTTGGAGTGCCATACACCCGACCCCGCATGCTGACCTGGTGCTTCCATAGAGACCTCCCGCTGGCAAACCCTCCCTTCACTGTGGAGACGCTGAAGTCTTTCAACTGGGGAACTGCTATGGAAGGAGACGTTTTCTTTTCTGCTCCAAAGGCATGGGTCCAGAGTTACATTTGTCGGAGGCAGCATAAGGCCATGGGCCATACTGGGAGCGATGTTGCCCCGAACCATGTTCGATCGCCAGCGCTGAAGGCAGCGTCTGCTGGGATGGAACACCTGCTCAGTGGCGGCGACTTTGCCCGAATCCGGACGCAAGAGGTGGAAGAGCTCTTGCGCCGCGGAGAGGATGCTCATGATGATCGCATCTTTTTGGCTGACGGGATTGCCATGAAAGGGCAGACGGCCAGTTTTTCCAAGGTCAAGAAACTTATGCCGTCCCTCATGACAAGGAGCGTTCCATGGAGCTACCGGTGGAAACGTGAACTCCTTCCAGTGGAAGGATTGGGGGTCATGGGCATTCCTGTCTTTCAGAGTTGGTTGCACGACAAAGAACAGGGGCTCTATGGTTGCCCCTATCAGCACATGCTGACTTTGCTCAATGATAGTGATGTTCGCAGGTTGGCGGGCAATGGCATGTCGCTTCAGGTGATGGGTGTCGCATTTGCAGCTGGGCTGTCTTCTGTGGATATCCGGCCCAATCCATTGGCTGGCAGCCCGCCTTGTCCCATGCCAGAGGCTGACAATGGAAGGTCGTGTGGCGACGAGGAGGACACGCAGCCTCTCTGAGTCTCGTCTCCCTTCCCGGCCCGGCAGCAAGGCAGAAGTGGAAGATTGCGCAAAGGACGTGCGCAATCTGGTTTTGCTAAATGCAGTTGCTGGTAGGTGGACAGTTGACAGAGCTGTGGGGTGAAAAGCAGTGCGCCTGTGAGTGTTTGTTTTGGGTTGAGGGCTTTGTTGGGTTGTGAGCTTGCTCAGTCCATGTATGCCTTTTTTTTGCCACTTGACAAGAGCGGACAGTTGGCCATCCTTCCTTTAAAGTAAGGCCCAGTGCAGCTCCAGATGCTTCATTGTGCTTTTACGCATCTCTTGTTACTTCTCTTCTCTTGTTCTCCCAGGCCTACAGGTACTTTAGACCGTTGATCTTGCTTTGCCCTGGTAGCAATTCAGAAATCGTTTGCGCGTCTTTGCAGTTTTTGGTTGCAGGAAGGGTGCTGAGTCACCTTGTTGGTCAATGGCCTCGAGCGATGATGAGTCTTCCACTTGGACGCGGCCACGTGGCAGAGGCGGCTCGAGTGACAGCGGCAGCGCCGATGAACGGCAAGCAGTTCCTGACGGCGCAGTGATTGTTCAGCACACCGTGTCTGCTGAGGCCTCTGCTGTAGTCAAAAGCCAGGGTGCAAAAGGCTCAGAAGCTGCGGCTGCACCGTTGGAGAAGAAGAAGAAACCAAATCGCCCTTCAAAGAAGAAGAGAGAAAAGTTCAAAGCCCGAACTGCAGCAGAGAAGTCGTCCGCTGGCGCTGTGCGCTCAGTGGCGCTTGCTTGCGCCAAAGCTTCTTCTTCAGGACGGCGCGGGGCTTCTGTGCGTGCGGCCGCAGCTGCGGTAGCTAGCACTTCCTCTGCGCCGAGAAAGGCGTCTGCAGGGGCGCGTGGTGGCAAAGGCAGTGGCAGCCGCAGCAGCGCGTCTGGAAGCGACTGTGAAGCACTGGAGGGGCCTGTCACTGTCACCTCCCAACCTGGGCGAAAAGTCCAGAAGGTGAGGCTGACGATGAATTTTTCTTAGGGCAGCTTTGAGCTGAGTTTGCAGTTAGCAGTGAGCAGGCTACGACTAGAAAAAGCTTGTTGCACATGAGCTGCCAACATGTCAGCGTTTGCAGTGTTTTTTGACTAAAAGATGTGAGAGATGTGGGTGTGCGGAGTGTTTTTGTTTCCAGATGTCTCCAGTTTACGCGTGAACACATGTCCAACTGTCATGAGCGCTGTGCGGGGCGTTGCCGTTCATCGCAACACCGCAATTGTATAGGATACGAGGCCTCAAATCCGATGTATCGTTTTCTTCTTGGGCCCAAGGACAATTTTACAATTCTACAAGTTGTTTGCTTTTGGTAGTTTGCTTAGCGGTTCCGGCCTGAATCGGACCGCCCGATGACCACTGCAGACTCTGCAGACATGGAGGTTGACCTTGCGCTGGTTGATGCTGACCAGGGCTCGCCCCCAAAGGAGGGAGCTTCAAAGTCAAAGTCTCCCAGCCGTCCATGTCAACGTGGGCGGAGCAAGCGCCGTGGTGAGAACGCGGCTGGTAAAGCTAAGGCTCGCGCTGCGCGCGAGAAGAAGCCTAAGAAGAGTGGACGCAATGTGGAAGCTGGAGAGTCAATGACTTGTCCAGTGCCTTGCTTCTGCTTGTTTTATTTTGGGTGGGAGGGCTGTGGTTTTTTGGAGATTGGAGCAGGAACCTTCTGGGAAAAGTGTTCTGGCTGTCCACCAAGAGCTGTAATAGTTTAGATTTTTCTGCTGCGTGCGCGGTCAAGGTGTGTGGCGTGGAGACACCAAAAATGAAGAATACATGCTACTGCCCTGACCATAAGCGGACCACCGACGCCTTGTTCCGGCAAGCAAAGAAGAATCCTGAGGTGAAGAAGAAGGTTGCAGAGTTGGCCCGCCGGCCAGACAAGACTGTTTGGTTCAAGCTGGTTGAGGACAGTGGCTGTTGAGTTTGAATTTACACAAGTTCACAAGTTCCTTTCAAAACTAACTTTTCATTACGTTATGAAAGTGTGCTATAAGGGCAAAGCCGTCAACTACGCCAGGAGTTCAAGACCAACTGCCCGACGCCTGGCAACAATTTGCCGCGGGCGTCTTTCGACTTCCTGGTGTTCATGCAGAAGGAGAAGGTGGCTTTGACAGCATCGCACACCGAGGAGCGGGAACCCATGACAAAGAAACAGTGGGTCCAGTTTGCTCAGCAGGTCATGACCCACGACATGACAGAGACTGAGGCCATTGCTGAGTGGAACAAAATGGTCTCTAATCCAGACGAATACGAGCGTGCATCAAAAGACCGCAGAGGGCAGATGCGCATCTGGTGCCCAACCAAGGAAAGCAAGTCTCTGGCACGCTCGCGTGAAGAGTCGTATGAGCTGACCAGGCAGTGCAAGCAGCAAAAGTTCAAGCAAGCCGACTTGGAGGAACTACAGGAGGATTTGAGAAACCGCAGTGGCTTCTCCAGTGTCTTGAGCGATGACTGGAAGCCCTACACTGGTGGCCAAGCTGCCGCTGTCGGGTCTTCACTTGTGAACGCAAGTGGCTACACTTCAGCTGGGAAGAGCCAGTCTGTTGTCAAGTCTTTGGAGGAGGTTGTGAGCAGTTTGCAAGATGTAGAGCCTCAGCCTGCGCTGCCCGATCCTACTCAGCCAGTTGCGGAGGATGACCCCAGGAGGAATCCGAAGGTTCCCAAGACCTTTGACCCAGATGTTTGGAAGACGCTGCGACTTCCACAGTTTTCAGCGACTCTTGCAGCTTTTCAGGCAGAAGCCAAGGACATGTTTTAGTTCAAGATTTCTAGATATATCCAGGGTTGTAGCTAGATCTTGTTGTAAAACAGTTTTTCTAGACATATCCTGTTTTTTGCCATTGATTTTCTTTGCCGCGAATGTGTTTTGTTAACCTTGGCAGGATGCATCCGCCAAGTGCGCGAAGCAGCTCTCGGAGTTAGAGGAGTTGGCCTTGACGGCTGAAGATGCGGCTGCCCCGCAAGTTCAGGACCACTTGACCAAGATGGCCACCATTGCCCCTCAGCAGGTGAAGGCGACCAATGTCCTGCACCTTTTGGACTCTTGGCTGACGACCTCTATGGCTGAGTGGCAGGTTGTTTTGGGTTCAGCTGCCGCTGTGTCTCTGGCGGAGGAGATGCCCACTTTGAGCAGCTTGGAGCCGCTGTTAGAGTTGGAGACGGCAGGGGACTCGAAGATCCAGGCTGTGAAAACTTTTGAGCAAAGCCTCAGCGTCAATGGTTTCTTGAAAGAGCAAACAAAACTGATGAAGTCTTTGAAAGCCTCAGTTGCCCAAGCGTATGGGAAAATTGCCACAACCATCAAGACCTACCAGAAAGCCCACAAGCAAACTTTGGAAAAGAAAGCGGCTGCTGAGAAGAAAGCTCAGAAGGCTCAAGCCAAGAAGAAGCCAAAATCAAATGGAGATGATGGGACTGAGGCAGCTTCATCGCCTTCGATGGTGGGGTTTCAGAATTCTACTCCGTTGTTGGCGCCTGAGTTCTTGAAGGGTTGCAAGGCCGTGCAAGGATTTGAGTCTGCTGATGCTTTTCGCGCCGACACAGGCTTGAAGTGGGACACGCCCTTTGTAGTCAAGGGCATTCAAAGTCCGGTGCGGGAAAGGTTTGAGAACCCTCGCCTGCGCCAGTCAGCTGAATACTTTGAATCAGTTTTGAGTGAGAAATCTGATTCTCTGGTGAGGGCAAAGTGCATGCCCGACAATGCTGGTGAGGCGCAGAAATGCTTGAGCTCCCTTGCGCCTGCAGAGCTTGTGGTTGACTTGGGCACCATCCAGCTATCTGATGACAAGGTCCGTCGATCTGTGTCTGGCGTCCGCTTGGTTGCACAGGGTTCGAAGCCATACATTGGGTATGACTATGATGACTTGGCTTCGTTTGAGGTTGCTGTCAAAGGCCAGAAGCAGGCCTTGCTTTTCCGACCCTGCGCTGACTTGAGTTTCCTGGTGGGCGAAGATGGCCGCCTTTTGCCAGCAGAGACGCAGCTTTCGAAGCTGAAGGCTTTGACGCCCGAGCAGTGTGAGCAGCTGAAGCCGCATGCCATGGTTCACACGCTGACTGTCTCGGAAGCCTTGTTTTGGCCTGCAGGATGGATTGGAGTCTTCTCGGCAGTGGGCAAAGCAACGACCTTCAGCTTAGCTTTGCCGGTGCTGTTGCGTGCTGGCGATGCTAGCTTGCTGTGGTCCACCTCGGCGCCGCGGCAAGCTTTGCTCGACGCATGGAAAGCAGCTCAGCAGCAGCAGCAGGCCAAGGTGGAGGCAGTGGATGTCCCTAAGCCGCTGCCTCCGCCTCAGCCTTAGGCCCGCCAGGTGGTGCTTGTGGCCCCTCAAACCCTCCGGCTGTGGCGGTTTCGGTGCGTGCTGCCAGTTTTGAAAGTCAAAGAAGCTTTCAGGGAAGGTTCGAGGTATAGAATGGAAGAGGCCTTGGCTTGGCTTGGTTTGAGGTTTTCAGTTCGGGGCATTGGCGCAACGCAGTGCCAATGCAGTGGGATGGCTCACGGCTCTTCTTTGGCCTTCGACCTGCAACCTTGAGAGGCCTTTGGCTTTTGGTGAGGGCGACTGAAAGTGCTCTTTTGCTTTTGACGTTTGCCGTCGGCGCTCAACTTGCCGTTAAAGAATAAAATAGCATTATGACTCATGACACACATGTAGAATAGTTGTTCTGTTCAACTGTTCTGTTTGTTTTTGAGTTTGAGCTTTTGCCGGCTTTCTCATCGTTCTAGATGGCCTTGATTTGGCCTGAGATCGTTCTGGATGGCCTTGATCTGGCCTGCGAGTCGGAAACAGATGCTCAAGGGTGAAGTTGCCTGCTGAAGCGCTTGTTGCACAGTGTTTTTTCGACAAAAACAAAAACAAAAAAGTTTGTTAGTTTACTCTTTGAAGTTTTGGTCTGTCCAGTTCAAAGCTTTAAGCGCCACCGCGCGCCACCGCACACCACCGCACACGCCACCGCGCCCGCAATTCACACCGCGCCCGCATTTCTTATGAATTTGGGGGACAGTGATCCCCGCCGTGACATTTCAATACTTTTGTTTTCATGCCACGGTGAGGAGCATGTTGCCATGGTCGTGGCTTTTGTGATTTTCGATTTTGCTTGTGGGTCCTCGGGTCGTTGTTATTGTACAAGACTGTGCGCCACAAGTCCCGTTGCAAGACTCACACAGGTCTTGTGTCTAGAGTCTAGAGTCGAAAGTGCCGACTGTGTCCCCTTCTGTGCCTTTAGGCAGTGGACTCAGCAGGTCAGGGACCGTTTCACTGCCGATGTGGTGAAACGAACCCTAGAAAAGGTCGATGTATTGTTTCCAATGCATGCCATCAAATCGCATTGAAACCATCTTTTGGAACGAGCTTGCGCGCAACCTACTACCTCTGAAGCTTAATTCCGCAAGTCTTCTATTGAGCGTAACCCGTAGGAGGACACTAATGTGGCGCGTGTAGACACTAATACGCGCTAGGGGCCATTCAGTGGGCAGATTGGCGTACAATGCAACAGGGGGCGCCAAGGGTGGCTGGTCTAGCTCAACAGCTTGTGCAGCTTGTGCATCTTGTGCAGCTTGTGCAGCTTTTGCGGCTGTCGGCTGGGTCTGCACCGATGCACTCTCGACACCCTCTGTTTGCGTTGTTGGCATCGAGTGCTTCTGAAAGCGGTACAACTCTTGCATCGCTCTCTGCTCGGATTGTACTGTAAGGTCGGCCTCCGCGAGCCCAGCATGGTCCCCTTCCTCGCCAAGGGCAATCTCAATAGGGCTGATTTGCTTGTCTGCGCCCTCTTTTCGGGGATCCTCGTCCGGTGAGTGGGGATCTTCTTTGATGCCCATGGGGACGGGGGTTTCTGCCAGGCTGACTAGGCCAGTATGCCCGCAGAGCATGCTCTGTTGACTTGCGTCCTCTGTGCCGTGTTCAGGTGTGCTTTCGATACTCTCTGCAATGCACTGTAACACCGCCAACGGTTTGACCGCCTTGGACTTTACCGCACTGTGTCTGGTGGCCGCGGCCTTAAGGGTCCCTCTACTGGTCTCAGTGGAGGTGGCCGGCCTTTCCCTTTCTAACTGCTGTTGTGACGTGTCTCTCTCCCTGGGTTCACCTCTATCAGAGGGCTCTCCTGTTCGGGCCAGCGATGCTTGCTGCCATCTCCGCCTCATGCCTTTGAGCGCTTGTGCGCCTGGTGCACCTGCCTCTGCTTGCTCAGCTGGAGGACAACTGCTTGGGCAGTCGCCTTCCGCCATCTTGTTGTTGTCTTGGATGTTGTCGCGGTGCCTTGGCAGACCGCTCGGGCAGGCTGTGATATCGGCGGGCTCAGTCATCACACTTGCGGCTCCGATGGCTACGGCGGGGGGTGCATCTAGCTGTTCATTGGCCTGAGAGCAGGGAGAGGCCACAGAGGGAGGAGACGTTGCAGACTGGGAGCGGACCCCATCCACTGGCTCGTAATGTCCTTGAGAGCACACTGAAGAGGAGTCATTGACCTCCCATACACTGGCTATCTCATGCTCCTCTTGTTGTTCGACGACTGAGTCATCAGTTGCAGCTTCTTCTTCCCTATCCTCGGCACCGTCATTAACGGGCTTGGGTGAGTCACAGCTGCTGATTTCGTGCACCGGTGTCTCATCCTCACCGACTGAGGAGGTGACTGTACCAGCCGACGGTGCTGCGGGCTCAGATGCCTGGGTGGGGGAGCCTTCTTCTTCTTGGCTGCTGACCGAGACTGGTTGGTCATGAAAGTTTTGTACGCTGAGTGTACTGTCAGGCGATGGAAGAAGACTTGGCTGACCATCGGAACTGAGCAGGTCGAGGTCATCAGAGGCCAAGCTGCCAGCAGGCTCGCCAGTGGCCGGGGGCTGCGTCCGCCGAGTCAGCGGCTGCAGGACGCCAATAGCATCCTTCCTGTAGCATCCCTGGTGCCGGGGGCAGCAGCAGGGAGGAGTTCTCTCGATCTAGTTAGCCGCCCTGTTTGCGTTCCTCCTACCGAGCCAGGAGCAGCCGCAGAGGACAGATCAAGCTGAGTTAGCCCTCTATGCGGACCCAACCTACTGGCTGTATGGCCTTCTGTCCTTCTGCGCCAAGAGCTGCGAGGCGAAGACAGCAGAAGCAGGAGGAGAACCTGACTTCAGAACGAGCAAGGAAAGAAAACAAGACAGTTCGGCTCCAGCGTTAGAACCCACTCGCAACTCGCTGGCCCTGATGCAAACAGTCGTCATGTCCTTTGCGCGGGGCCTGTACCTTGGCAAACCTGAGCTCCCCATAGACCATGTGCATGTATACTTCCCTGTTCAAATAGTGCACAAGGTCATTGCGCAATGTGAGGCGCTAAAGCTTAAGGAAGGCTCGCTTGCCGCTTCTGAGCGATACAGGCATAATGTGGATAATGCTGCTAGCAACCCTTATGTCATAGTGGGGGTCTTTGAAGGAAGACGCCCGTGTGAGCAATATCCCCCCATCCCGAGGACCCCTATCCTAGCGAAGGCTTACGAAGAAGGAATTCTTGATGCAAGTTTTGGGCAGATCGTTTCCTTTGCCTCCTTTTATCAGACCAGCTTTCGCGTGGAGGTCCCACTGTGGCACAAACTCGAGGATGGGATAGCTGACCCTGCACTAGACAGCCAGACAGCGCCGAGACGCGGGTCTGCCAGGGAGACGCCGGTAGACAAGGGAACCCGAGGAGTAGCGGCGATGCCACCGAACGCCCTGGTGCAAGGACAGACCGTGCTGAGGCGAATGCTGACGAGGAAACTACAGAAGAAGAGAGCTACGTCCCAGCCACGGGGCAAGGATGCTTCTCCTTTGAGATGAGCCTGCTACAGAGAGCGGCGCAAACCTTTGCAAAGCGCTCGGTGGCTGACCACTATATGCAGGTTGCGAGATGGCTGCATACTGGGTTAGCTACGACCATCTCGAGGAAAAGTTGGCATCTTCTGTCCAAGCACCGCGCATACACCGTCACCCCCCTCGCCCTGCTTCGGGTACATTTCCAAATAGGATACCTCTCCACGGAGCAATCAGACAAAAGAAGCCCTACGCTGCGACCGACGTACAAGGCCAGACTGTGCGCAACTGGGAACGACGCGTCAACCAAGTCGTCCCTGCGGGCTATCTTGCAAGGACCTATCGCTTCCGTACAACGAGAGAAACCGGTGCGGAGATTGACTATTTTCGCCTAATAGATCGCACCGTTGAACTGCCCGATACAGAAGGGACATCTCGAGAGGCAGCGGTACAAACCAAACCACAAACCTCCGCGTCTAGCCGTCAGTAAGGCAGGACCACAGTGAAGACGATTCTGTACCATCGAAACGAACCCACGTTCTAAGAGGCAGTGCAGGTAGGCCCGGCGGTATCCCAAGATACTGTCGCTACTCACTAAATTAAGGGGTAGGGAGCCGTCACGTATAGTAGCTCTTATCTTGACATCGGTCACACCAGCCACTGCTGTAGGACAGACTGCACAGACACCCTCTCAGGAGGTGTAACACTCCTGAGTGGTGGAAACACCACAGAAGGGTGCAAAAGCAGCTCAAAGGAGCCCCAGGCGGCATCCCAAGATGCTGTCGGAAGTATTGCAGGGTAGGTTGCCCGTAGGTAACTACTGTTTACCGTTTCCCCGGGCGCCGCCCATGTTGCACCTGGCAGGCAGGGATACCACTACAGGGCGCTGCCCGCCTTTCGGCTCAAGGCGCTGCCTGCGAGGACTGCAAGAGAGGGCTGCCAACGGCGGGACAGTCCCCCCATATGGCAGAGGGTGCAAGCAGAACCGTGCGCCAAGCACAGCAGGCTGACTGGGAAGAAGACAGCTTACTTCGACTGTACCTCACCACACTTGCTGGCACGGTGATACAGCTACAGGTCCCTGTCAGCATCTACCACACGTGGGAAATGTTGGAGGAGTACCTAGTTGAGCACCTGCTGTGCATTAGTCCCATCGAAACGTTTGGGTGTGAACTCACCCTACTCAATGCGGATACCCAGGTGGCACTTCAAGACCCTGTACAAGAAGAACTATGGAATACCAATCACTTCTGTCTCATCGTGCATGAGTGCTTTCGGAGTCTGGAGAACAACAAGCCCCTCCAGGGGCTTGATTATGAAGACTGCCCGAAGGCGATTCGAGTCCCTGTCTCTGAATCAGGTATTCTTGAAGCCAAGGCCTTCCACTCGACCACGCGAGTCCGCCACGCCTGCTTAGATGTTGGCTTTAGCGCAATCAGCCCGCAAGCGTGGCGGTATTGCCACTCCCTGCGGATCGTTAAGCTGCCGGACACGGTTGTAACGTTAGGATATGCAGCTTTCCAAGGATGTTACTCCCTACAGGTAGCCGAAATGCCGGGATGTGTAGGGTTTGGTGTTCGAGTATTCTCTGAATGTTGTGCGCTGGAGAGTGTCGGTAACATCGTCGATGGAGGCAGCCATCTAGCGATTGGAGCCATCATCAGTCAATATGCTTTCGAAGAATGCGCTAAACTAGGCCACCTATCCCTACCTCATGTACGAGCAGTGGTGGATAGTAGCGCACTCACCTCCCCGCAGGCAGGATTACCTCAGGAGTGCTTTTTCGCAAGCGGCATCCAGCAAGTGGAACTCGGAGAGGATACATACCACATAGGCCACAGAGCTCT